ATTTTTTTTATAAAAGATATATAATAAAAATTTTTACATTCAAATAAATTCTAATATCTAATAACTTAATTAAATAAGACAGAATTAAAATTTTATTTTGAAAAAATAATCTATTAATCTATTAATATTTATTTATATAATAATCTTTTTGTATTAGATCATACTTATAATTAAAATAATACTTAAATTTTTTACTAATTATAACTAGTAAAATACAAGAATTATATTAATTATAATTACTATTATATTTATATGAATAATTAAAAAAAATTAATTATTACTATACTAAATTTAATAATAAATCTAAATTAGATAAAATAAATATTTTTTTGTAATATTTTTTTAATTATACTTATTAATAAAATTTTTGTAATAAAACTTATTAAATTTCTTGAGCTTATTTTAATTATTCAAATAAATATGTTATTATCTTTAAAATAATTATTTTATAATAAATATGATTATTTTAATTTTTAATATAATAATTTTTTATTAAGAATACTAATATATATATTAGATATCTTATATTTATTTACTATTGAGAATATTCAAGATATTTTTATATGATTTATTAAGATCTGAAATTTTATCTTTTTTGCAATATGAATTAATATAATATTATAAATTAAAAGAAGTTAATATTCATACAAAGTCATTTTCAGCATATTTAAGATTCTTATTTACAAAATAATTTTATAATAAACGTGATATATATAAAGTAGGAATATTATGATTGCAAAAAGAATATTTATTTCGAGTTATAGATTATTTCAGATTTACAGCCGGATCCAAAATTACAAGATTCTCTTCATTATTTAATTCTCTCATATATAAATAAAGATCCCAATATTATCAGGATTTTTTTAAAATATTCAGCCGGAGCAAAAAAAGACTATTATTAATTATGCACTTCCTCTCTTTATCTTTGCCAAAGTCCATTCGATCTCTAATATATTTAAGCAAGACAGTACCATACGATAATTATCTAGAATTATATTGTTCTGGTAAATTATCTTTTTTACCTCGGAAATCACGGTTCTTTTATGTGTACATGCTTGGTGTTTCCATTATTATCCATTATATTAATTTTTATCCGTTAATATTATCACAACCACCATATCATCCATTAATCTCAAGCAAACTAGTGAGATACGGCATCCGATTTCGTCTCTGATTCTCATTCCAAGAGTTTTGCACATGTTTCTTCAGTGGCTCTTTGAATGACGGGTCCATTTGTAAGACCATTTGCAATTTTTCCATGGGTAGTTGTGAAAGGACGGGAAGAGAATTTGGTAATGTGATCTAAATTAACCACATTAATCGTAAGTTAGAATGCTCAAAGTTGAATGAGTTATCCTTTAATAACATGAACTTACTTTACAACATTTAATAAATCCCTTCCACAGATCCGGATTATCCCACACTTTTTTGGTGATTAATCGCGAAAGTAAGTTTGTGACAAATCCTATTAATCTTTTGTATGAGTTTACGCTTTGATACAGCTATATAGATAACAAATTTGTTAAGTTCAGGGGCTGGCAAAAATAACTACGCAAATGAATTCAAGTCATAAAGTTTCAAAGACATTACAGTAAACATGATCAAATTTGGCAACTCTGGTTCATCGACTAATTGTTGCAAGACAACAGCCAGTACTTCGGATTTAAAGATATTCGTCATCGACAAACAGACTTTGATTGCTGGAAATAAAAAATTTTACCGAGTATTACTATTATTTTAGTTTCAAAATCACGAAATGAATAATAATAACAATGATGATTATTATCATTACCTTCAGCCAATTTAGCTTGGCTAACTTGCCCATCCATATGATGCAAGGCTAATAGTAATTCACTTGGTATCAATGGAGCAGTAGTGGGTTGAGCAGGTGGTGTGGTGGTGGAACCAGTTGCTGTTCCCGGCGTCGTCGTCGTTGTCGTAGTAGAGGGAGGCGAAGATAAGATCCTACTGAAAACTTCTTTTACAGGTCTTTTTTGAGTTTCGGTTCCATCAAGTATATTAATCACTTTGGGAAGGTGAACAATAATTTCGTTCTTTTTATTGGATTTGTTGTATCAGGTTAATTTTATTGGGAGCTTACAAAGAAAGTCAAAACTCACTATTTGGCCACTAAAATATAAAGTAGGAACGCACTTAATTACCTTCTCTAAAGCGGATATAATTGGTATTAAAAATCTCGAGTCGAGATTTCGCTGTTCCATAGCGGATTTGACCGTGCTGACTAATTGTGGCGATGGTCTCACTTAAATTCAAACATTGTAAATACAATAATTTAGAATCAAATGTGAATAATTAATTTATAAATTTCATCCATAGAAATAAATGGACTTACTTGCGCTAGTCAAGCTCACAACCATCTTCAACGCCAACGTGTCACATCCTTCGGGAAAATTTCGTATAAGTTGCAACAGTTTTGGCGAATTCATTCCAATAGATTTTATCACCGGAATCATGTTCTGTGTCATGATTTTTCGTACAAAAATTGATGCATTTTTGTATGCGTTGAAAAGTCTATTTATACACATAAACATATACACACACACACACACTTTAGGATTATTCGAAAGCCAAAAAGTATCATTAAGGAAAACATCAGAATAATGAAGAGGATGAAATGACATAACACATACTCGCTCAACAATTCGTGCTGTTTCGCGACCAGAGCCAAATAGAGTTCTAGACGCTTCGTGATTTCTTGTTCGGTCCATTTCCGAGTGAGTTCATCATTGCCGCTAATGGTTGTCGCTGATGTGACCTGATCAAGTCTCTCAGCACTTGATGACCCTTGTTCTGCCACAGGTGAACCTAAATGATAGTGGTAGTCATACGGAAGTGGTGGTGACTCGAGACACAATTCATTAAGAGATTTGATGGCGAACGATTGGATCTCAGCAGCTATTTGGCTATTATCATGAGCACCCCACCATTTTCTTAGGGTTACAATCGCCGATGATCGTGTTATTCGGTCTATCGAATATAAATTTATTTTAAATAAGTTTATTATTCAGCAATCACCGCTCATATTTAGTCATATATATAATATTACCTTTATGAATAGAATATTGCAACAGAATATTCATGGCACATTGTCGCACGGGTGGTCGCATCTCAATTAATTGAGATAATGTCGAGAAACCTAATTGCATCCTAGTTTATCGAAAATAATTTAAATAAGGAAACTCAATCTGTATATCAATATACCAATGAGAAAAATAAAAGACAATCACCGATCAGGGTCATTGCAATAAATCTTGACACGATCAACAACATCTTCGGGCAATTCAGGAACATCCAGTAAGAAGCTACTGAACGTCTGGTCTTTGGCTTCAAGTGCTGGCATGGCAGCATCCAATAGTCGACGAAGCCATTTCGCGTAGTTGGCACTCTATTATGCAAACCGGGACAAAAATTTTATGATTAAACGATTAAAATAAATTAGTTAAGTTTAATTGCGCTGAAACAGCAGTAAGGATGATTAAAACTCACATATGACGAGCTATTTCGTAACATAATATTGTCATGGTACCATTCTTCATATAGCCAGGTTAATGCCAATTCCATCCTGTAGCAATGATAGCTCTCAGTTATGTATAAAAATACTGCCATTCTAACTTATTTATTTTGCTTATACGAATACGAACCTGCCTCGAAAATCTTCGAGGATATATTTCATCATCAATTCTCTCAATTCATCATTTTTTTCTTTTATATCACGAGCATCGATTTCCTTCCCACTTTCAACTTGCTCCTTACTTTCCTCTTTCTTTTCTTCTATTTTCTTAACGTCACTCAATATATCTTCAGGTTCGGTTTTACTTTGCACTTCCTCCATATGAGCGTCTGTCTCGGTTTTCGCAACCGACTTGGTATCATCTGATTTAGTAGGCGACTCAGGTTCGTTAATAATTTCCCAATCGGTATTTAGACCTCTCGTAAGAAGCCTAGATATTATCATCATCCATTGAGACTTCGTCATCCCGGGGCTAACATAGGATTCAGATTGTTCAGAGGTTTTTGGACCACTATCAATTTTTGTTGTCATGCCACCAGTAGGGAGTCTTGTTTCCGCATTAAAAATGCTTTTCACACGTGATTTCATCAGAGATCTACATTCCTCAAAGGATAGAGGTCCAGGCGGTGGAAGTGAGAATGGCTGAATTTTGAAAGTTTGTGCTGGCCGCTCTAATATTGGAATTTGTTGTTGTTGTTGTTGTGCATATGCTGTTTGTTGCTTTACAAGTTCTTGTTGACCTATCAATATTGATTCTGATAGTTTTGTCGTAGAATCAATTTGTATTATTAACTGTGATTCAGGTTCAGATTCTATTTTGATAGATATTTTCTCATCCACTTTTTCAGTTGTTATAGGTAAAGGTGATCTAGTTTCTTCATGTTTGAGACACTCAAGAGGAACAACAGTCTGCACGTTGGTAGTGGTTGAAGACATTTGAGATGCTTCATTGGAAGTTGTCTCGACAACCGAAGTAGATGCTGACACAGTAACACTTTGTGGAGGTGACGATGATGCAGCCGCACCAGCAGCTCTTAGACGCGGATCTCGTAGACGACTTTCGCGTCTTAATGCAGTTGTTTTCAAATTGACTATAGGTGGGGTTAAAGAACGAGGAGGTGGTGTTGATGGTGTATTTTGACTTTGTGCTTGCTAAATTGTGAATAAATATATTAGCATAAATCTAGATTTCTCGTAATTGAATAAGATGCGGAAATTTCAAAATTCGTGTACCAAAACAGTCTGATTTAAGCGTCCCGGGGAAATATTCTGCAAGGTACCAAGTATAATCTCTACGACCAAAGGCAATGGGAACTGTGTCACGTCAAACTGACTTAACAATAAATGTATATTAATTCACAAATTAAGGAAAATCTCAAAATTAAGCAACAATACACATTAATGCAACCCAAAAAAAAAGGATATTATTTATATATATTGTGTTGCTAATATCATTTCCTTCCAGACGTTGACGTTTTGAAAATTCAGGGATGCCCGACGTGGCCCCTCGTTTCATTGAAGTTCGACCATCATTCTGCTGTTGCAACAATTGCCGGAATTGTTTGGGGAATTGTGCGAGTTCTTGTTTTCCTCCCATTGCAACTAGAGCATCGAATATCTGCATAGCTGACGGCGATGAAGGTTGTGCCCTATCAATACAAATAAACATATTGATTATTTTCATCATGATAGGTTAAAAAATTAACTTGATTGAATTATCAAGGAATCATCACAAGCATAAATATATTTACTTTAACAATGACATCAATAAGATCCTAATAGATTTCTCCACATTTCCCATTTGGCTTTCGTTAAGATGGCTAGGTGGTGTGCGCATCCACGAACCAAATACATTAATTACATTCTCGATGTATTGCGGTCTTGCTCTTAACAGAGGGCCCAAGCTATTGATTACCGCAGTTATTATACCGCTAGATCTATAATCATATAATAATAAATTCAAATAATTTATTATTTAGAGTAAAAGACGAGTTAAAACTTACTCTTTACGTAATAAAATAAGTAATGTATGTAGGATCGCTATCGCCTCTTGCTCAAGTAACTGTGGATCAAGAAAAGGATGCGTCGGCGGACAAATCGAAAGAGAAATATCTTCGTATTGTCTAACCTTTTTATATAGAAAGATAAAGATGATGCATTCATGAATTGTATAAATACGGTACATCAATTACTGATTTGCAAAAAACTTACCATCGAATCTTGAACATGTCGCGACTGTACGATCACCACAACTTGCAGGTATTTTATTACGTAAACTTTAACTCCATCATCTGTTCTAGGATTGGCCAGCAACGAAATTATCGCGTTCTTTATCTCGCATGCAGTGCGCCAAGTTTGTTGTCCTTCTGCGAGTCTTTTATAGCATCTATGGGGGCACGTCCACACCAAACAATAGCGGATAGATAGATATGAAAAGCGTCAGCGATAACGAATTTGACTTCGAATCAAAAAATGAGACATATAATAATAAAGTAGTAGAGTGGCAAGACATGATGACTCACATTGTTTTGAACAGGAATGGATATAAACTGGCGTTGCATGAGATTGTCTTCTTTACAACGACAGAGGATTGATCGTTTTTTATTAAATTCTCTAAGATTGGTAACGCACGTTGTAATACTATTTTTTTTTTGGGCAAAATTATTCGGTTAAGGTTTAATATAATATATAATAAAACTAATTCTTGTGATTGTCCATCAAACTTTCGCCATATTTTTTTTCAATAATTTAAAATAGCTAATATTTTTTTTATTCACGTTTTTAAATCTATGAATTCTTTCAGAATAATCTAATGACCTCTATATAAATCTAACAAATTCTCAAATCTAGCTAGCTATTGCCTCAAGATGCCAAACCACTCGATTATTCACGAAATTCTCAAACTATAAATTGAGAGCCCACTTCCGTTGCAAATAAGGAAGGTACAAAAGCCAACGCCAACAAAATCAGAAAAAAGAAAAAAAAATTTGGAAAATCAAGAAATAAAGATAAGGATACATGATTCCTTCTGCTCATAATTAAACGGTGACCTCGACAACAGATACTCCAAAAAACTAACCGCCCATTCGCGAATCTGTTCGTTTGCCGCTTCCACAAAGTTCAAAGCGGCGGCAGTTTGAGGTTCAAAGAGATCGGCTCGACCCTCGACTAGTTGCTCAAACGCTATTAGCGATTCTATTACCTTCTTAGCATCTGAACCGGGATCAGAAGCTATGTTTAATAGATTTGCTATTTGTGCCTCAGTTGAAGAAGCCATGGGTTTCTATTTCTAAAAAAAACTATTAGAACTTAGTCTGGGCGCCGATTTTATAAATTGCAGATCGTAACTACGTCATCAATCATGCTTTATTCGATTCTGGTTTCACGAGGGATATTACTATTTGAAGCGAGTTATATGATTAATTTTAATAGCTCCTGTTTTTGGAGCCAAATTTATTTTTTGAAATAATTATTATTAGTAGTAGTACATTAATAGTCTAATTATTGCTTAATTAATAAGATTAAAAATCAGAAAAAGGTTTTACTAAATAGACAATACATCTATATAACAAAAGTTTTTCTTGAGTAGGCTCTCAACATTCGACGAATAGTCATGTAGAAGAATTCGTCGGTCGTTTAATATACGGTTTCGACGGATCCTCAGCCAAGACCTTGGGTGGTCGAAACTCGCCCCCCGTCTTCTTTCTTTTTTTACTTGATCCTGCTGCACCACCACCTTTTTTCCCCTGAAAATCACGCCACTTATTGACCCGCTGCTCGCGAGTTTCCTCCCACAATTTCTCTTCTTCAGCTTTTCGTTTCCTCTCTTTCTCTGCAGCCTCAGCTTTCTGCGCCGCCAACCCCTGTGCTTCCATTTCGCGCTTTATCAATTTCCGTTTTCGTAGTTCGTGCTCAATCAAGATTTCCTTGGTCTTTTGTTTGATTTGGAGTCGGAATTCTTGTGTTTGTAGAATCGGATCATCGGCCTTCAGCTTTTGTTCTGAACAGAGTGTTGCGCGTGCCTCTTGGACTATAGCTAGAAGAAATGCGCGAGATTTTTCATTTGATAGTTCTGTTTCTGCCTATGAATCATCAATTTCGAAAAAAAAAAAAAATACAAATTATCTGTGAGCCTTAATGCGCACACTAAAGCATGAAAAAGCTTGAATAATATTTATCAACCTTTTTTAATAGCGCAAAAGCCTCTTGCGCTCTCGGATGTTTCGTCTTATCTGGGTGAATGAGCAATGATTTTTTTCGATATGTATTCTTTATTTCTTTTTCGGAACATTCTTCCGGTTCAATCTCTAGTACGTCGAACGGATTTAGCTTGAAAGCAGATAGTATTCGTTCAACCTCCTGATCCTTTTGAAGCTGCGTTGCCTCGGTCATTAAATATTTCTCAATATCAAGCTCAAGTTCTTCAGACATGTTTTATATACCGCTGTTTAAAATTGGAATAAATCTTGAAAAGGAATGCAAAGTGTCCGTGTATTTATTATGTATGTGTTTTTACGAATCGTCAATCACTGTAGATGCATAAAAATCCCATAGATTTTCGTAACACGATTTGTTGTCGATCAGTTCATTGACAGTTTTTTGACAGACACAATAATCATTTCGATTTTAAAACAACAATGCCAGTTTGCGTACACAAAGGCTGCGAAAAAACTTATAACGAAGAAGAGAATCACGACACGGCTTGTCTTCATCATTCTTCTCCACCCATCTTTCATGAAGGTTTGTAAAGCTTAGAAATGTAGTTGCCGAAATGGTTTGAATAAAGGAATCCATGATTCATTCTTTCTATAATTAAAAAAGGATATTGGAAACGAGCATGATCCCCTCATATCAAAAATTATTAACAGTTTAGATCTAATCGAGTTTTCTCACCTATATATAAATATAGGGTTAAAGGGATGGCAATGTTGTTCGACTCGTGTTGACTCATTCGATGATTTCTTGGCTATTCCAGGCTGCACACGTGGGTAAAGTATTTATTTTATATACTTAGCTGTCCTTGATTCACGAAAGATATTTGTGGTTAAAATCTTTTCTACAGTCGTCATAGTGATCAAAAGCCTGAAGCAGTGACTACTACATCACAAAAAGACAAATCCAAAGAGTCAGTTGCAAACATTCCAGTTGCAACACGAATTGAAGACGGAGTTGAAATTTACGATAACGGTTCTTCAGTTTCATCCGTTGGAAAAGAATTCGAATCAATGACAGTTTCATCATCTGCTGCCACCACGGCCGCTGATCAAACAAAGAAAAAAGCTGAGATAATCCCAGAAGAAGATGATCCCTCGATACCTGTATCGCCTGGAACAAAATGCAAGCGTGGTGGCTGTAACAAAACATTTGTTGACGAGTCAACGAGTCGCGCTGAAGGAGGTGCCGAAGCTGAATGCGTGTATCATCCGGGTAGTCCGGTGTTTCATGAAGGGAGTAAAGGTTGGTGATTCTTTTTTTTTTTTTTAATTATGACTTTGAGAATTGGTGACGGGATGTGAGCAGAGAAAGAATGCGAAAGTGTGTTCAATTATAAATTTAATTTAGTTTTTGAATTCAATCCTAACATTTAGCATTCGTACCGAGTTTTCGGTGAGAATATTGCATGAATTATGAATTACTACTCTTTCGATGTTTACACCTGGAGTTCTCATTCTGTTTGTCTTCTTTACGATCTATTAAACATATATGTTATTTATAGGATGGAGCTGCTGTTCTCGTAAAGTTTTAGAATTCGACGAGTTTCTGAAAATACGTGGTTGCAAAACCGGCAAACACTTATTTGTCGGTTCGAAAAAGGAAGATGTGAGTTTTCGCTTAATTTTTGTCTTGTTTTAATGAGAAAAAAAGGAGTATATTTATATAGATAAAACTGTGGCTTCATATCATTGCATAGACACAAGCTGAAGAAGTTGTTCAATGCCGTCATGATTGGTATGTCTTGACTTTTTTTTAATAAATGAGTAAAATCGTCTTTTTTTTTACTTTCAATTTATAATAATAATAATAATAATAATAAATAATATAATAATCAGGTATCAAACGACTACTTCTATAATCATGTCAATATATGCTAAAAAGGTTGACAAAGAACAATCTTCGATCTCATTCAGACCAGAAGAGGTAAGTATTTTTTATTTTTCAAAGCTATAATTATTTCAAATCCTGCTTGCAATAATTTACTCCCCGTACTAGATCTAGGTCTAGATGCTGTGTCTATTCTTAACAGAGTTCCCTTTAATTTAACCCTCTCGTATAATAACACCCTATAAATTCTGATGGGTGAAAGAATAGGGTATCTTATTGAGAAATGACGTTTAATTAATTCTACATTTTTTATGTCTAATTAAAAGGTGGAAGTGAATCTGAAAATGCTAGACGGTAAACGATTTAATGAAGTTATACCGCTCGAGTATGTTATTGATCCTAAAGACTCAAGCTTTGAAGTTTTGTCAACAAAAGTCGAACTCAAGATGAAGAAGGCAGGCAGCAAATCAAAAGTAGCTCCTCGACCTTAAAGTTATTGATTTTTGAATTATTTATGTGTAGTCGCGTGAGTAGTTGTATTTTTGCTATTAAAGTTTGGCATCAAGTTATAAGAATGATGTATTCTTTCATGATATAAATTATTAGCATCATATAAAAAATTATAGAAATAAAAAATTGTTATCCATAGCCTTGCCACTTTTTAAGATTACATCAATGTAATGGAGAATTCATGGCATATGAGATAATACCCTGTGGAGGAGGAAGGTTCAATTTTATTTAAGATAGTATATGTCACTCCCCTAATAGAATCCAAAATAAACATTAATTCATTCGAAAGGAGCCACCGTTTCATTATAATGTCCAAACCAGTTATCTTTGCAGAAATCTTGCCAAACATAAAGTCTATGAATCTTACTCTTGGCCTACCCTCAAATAATAACCCATTATCCTTTAATCTTGGCATATACGCTTCAAAACTAACCTTTGAACAGAAACAGCCACCGCAACGCGCGTCTTCTATCTCCACCTTACATCTATCCAACCTTATAGAAGCCACTGAAAACCCTTCTATAACAAGTACAAATGACGGTCTAGACATCAAACTCCGTCTAAGAACTTATGTTCGCAAAAAACCTACCAGACAAACCATAGGTAGTGATATTATTCCGCCGTTAACCGCTAAAGAACTCGGACCGCTAAAAAGCATTTTATGTTCTTGGTGTAAATTTCCGTTGGTGAATAGTAACGCATTTATTAAAGTTATGGATTTGCCGTCAGAGCATTGGTTGGAGTTGCTTGATTGTTGGATGTGCCATCAAGAAGATTATCAACAGGCTCTGTTGGGTGATGTGATTGCCAAAGAAAAGATTGCTATGGTCGGAAACACGTACATTCTCGTTCATCCATCGGATATTTTGAAGCCTGCTTTGGACCTTGAAGATGGAATGTCTGCTGTCGATGTGAGTAATTTAAATGATCCTTTTTTTGAATCCCGTTCCCGGTAAAGTTCGAATCCTGGACTCGAAAGAAGACTGGCATTTTGAGAATTTGTTAGCCAGTCGATACTCCTGGTCCTAAATTAACAAGCGAACTGGTGCCGTAACAAAACATCATATGTAATATAGTGAATTTGCATATACTATTACCACGGTGCACATATAATGATCTTGCGTTATAGTCATCCTAACAACCAACCCGTTTCTCTATAGTGGTTAACTGGATTATCTAGAAAATGGTTAAAAATGTGCTGTTCTAGATGTCTTGCATCGGTTGGTGAAGGTCTTTATACCATTGCTGCTGAAGATTTAGAAGATAATAATGAATCTTCTACAGGTTGCGGGTCCGGTAATAAATTTTTTCTGTAAAATTTTTAAGAATTGATTGATTTCTTTATTTTTCAAATAATTAATAATCACCTTTTTAATAAAGATAAATTTCTTTATTGAAAAAATATACATATTATTTTTGATGTAGCGCCAACTTTACTTGCAGTCAAATTTAACAAGTATATGACAGTTGTTGAATTATCCGCTCCGGAGAATCGGTAACATTTATTTTATTTCCACATTACTCTTTTGATTATTATTTTTATTAATTTCGTTATGATTTTACAGGGCCAAAATCGTAACCCATAGTTTTGCTCCATTTGTTGCTGCTAATTTTCTGGAAGCCGCTAAAGCACACGCGACTTATCGTTTTGTGATTGAATCCAATACTTATGATTTGCATCCTCATAATAAAGTTCAACCTTATTTACTGGTCGGTAGAAAGAAGACAATTTGCGCATCATTTATCTTAAATTCTAACATATAAAGTTTTAATCTGTGAATTCATTCATTCATTTATTTATGTATTTATTTATTTAATGAAGATTTTCTTTCTGTGCAGATTTGGTTGTTTTCTTGGGATACTAAAATCTTGACAAACGCCTTAGAAGGTGATGATGGTGATAATACCACGAGTTGGCAAAATAAATTTTCACCGCGTGTGATGATGGGTCAACAAGGTCCGGGACAGGTGATGTGGAGCGATATGAAAGCAAGGGACGGTAAGTATCGTGGCTTTAATTACGCACGTATATCATATATATTCTTTATTGAAGTGTGATTATATGTAATATTATTTATTATCAGTGCTCAAAATATTGTACATCGATTGTACCATCATGCGAACAGAAAAGGAAGACCGAACATCAACTCAGAGGTACTTTTAATATTTTCCGATATACTTATTTCATAACAACGAAACTTTCCACATTAATAATTCGCATACATTGTCCATTGACACACAAAAGCAGTCTAATCGAACAATGGGAAAAAGACAAATCCGTGGAACATTTTACATATCGCGAAGAAATCTGTTTAGAGATATTACTAATGCTTCGATTGAGTACGAGTTCTCTTCCGCCTAGTCAGAGAAAAGCCATGGACGGACAATTTTCTGTGGGATTTTTAGATCGAGTTGATTTTTAAATAGAATTTTGCTACAAAGCATGCATTATTTGAATACTGATTATTAAAGCAAGGTAAATATAGAGTTACATCAAATATTGCGAATTATTATATGCAATGCTAAATTAGATTTTGTATGAAAAATAATCATGTAATTTTGCATGATGAAAATCAGCCAATCAAAAATAATGTACGTGATGTTTCAAATGCTGAAAATTTGGCTATTACTATTATATTTAAGGCTAGTTGATAACGTATTTTTATTTAAAATATAATTCCTTTAGACTGTTCGCATCATATTCGAATTCTAAATTTACGCGAGTCTGAAATGGCTATAATAAAGCTCGGGAATATTTGAACGAATAAACATTATTAAAAAATAAAACAACTTAAACACTTTCTAACTAAATCCTTTTATAATTAGAAGCATAACTAATTCAATTGATTATTCCAACATCCAAGAGAAACGGCTAATAATTACATCACCAATAATCAAATTTTCAAATAAGAAATTGGCCCACAAGTTCATTACACCACTGATCAGAATAAAGATTTATAGTTTCCGGTCTTGGATCTCTTTTTCTTTGATAACCCGGATACACTTATGACGAGCAAAACGAACTACTGTGATCTTAGGTTAAAAAATTGCCTTCCTGATTGGTGCACCAACCGGGATTTAAGCCTCTATTTCTTGCATTTTTCATTTGCTTGTATCGAATTTATTTTGCTGGATTAATCAAAATTTATGAATTCTTGTTGGTTTGTGCACATAGTACACTACAATGAAGAATTGATAATTTCCTTTTGGATGTTATATATGAACGCTCTATTTTACGCTACGCAAAATCTATAATAAAATGTTTTTATCCTTTCACCATTTCAACATATCACCTACTTCAGCCTCGCCAAATAAGCTGTTCTTTGTTGCCACCAGTCTTTCTTCTTGTTCCGTTGCTGTATCTTCTCGTTGATAAATTTCAGATAGATGTGTCCTTATAAAACGCAAAATATGTCGATTTATCTGATCGAATTCGAGCAAGAAACCGTCATGACCTTCCGGTGATTGTATTCTGACCATTTCTGAATTTGGCATATGATCAGCAAGCTCCTGTTGTTCAGAGATTGTGAATAGACCATCAGATTCTATGCCTATATATAGAGTAATTATTTTGTAAGTTCTGCAAATTGCATAAATTATTCTGGTAGATGAGTAAAATCTTTGTCTTACCAATGACCATTGCAGATTGAGTTATCTTGCTCAAGACTTGATCTAGTTGCTCTCCTCTCCCTGTAGTTACATCATGTGCATCCATTTTTCTCGAAAGACTAATATAACAATTTGCATCGAATCGCATTACAAATTTCTCGCCTTGATATCGCAAATAAGACTGCGCTGAAAATAAACTCGTAGAAGCTGCAGTTGAAAATTCTTTTTTTATATTATCGATATTGCCATTGCTATCGCTACTATTAAAATAGACACCATTAATGATATTCTCGCTACGATGGCCTTCATTATGCATAAGTAATGCTTCTTCAGCAGGTGTTGTTGGAATAATTTTTGGTTGATTTAATTTGCCTGCCGGATGTTTTGATGGATCCTGATATTTACGACCAAATCGTGACTCAAAAGAAATTCGTGAACGGTATGTTAAGAGTGCGGTCATCCTAGCAGCTGCCAACCCTGTATTTGGAGACTAAAGAAACCGTTGATTGTTACGTAACTACTGACTTGATAAAAGAATTAAATCATATTCAAAAAAAAATCTTACATCATTTGGATCATAATATCCGTCGACTTTATAATTCCGAAAATGTAAATATTAATTGGCGAGAAAAGTTCTAAAACATCTAAGTATTAATTTTCAGAGCATCCACTTACGATATTTAGGATCACTATATATTGATTGTCGTTGGGCTTCACCCCAGCTGATGCACCATGCTGAATGTCTAGCCGAGGTAGCAATTGGGACGATAGTTTTTACATAATCTGCGCCCAAAAAAGCCCATTCAAGTACTGCCATTCCTCCCATTGAGCCACCAACAACAATAGCAATTTGTCTTACGCCTAAATGATCCAGAACTAATTTATGTAGTCTGTGAAAACGATGAATCAATTAATATGGTTCGTTCAATCTGAATGCAACACACTTCATACCTAACATCGTCGCGTGTAGTAGTCAATGGAAATTCAGGACCATAGATTCGACCAGTATCAGGATTAACGGTGACCGGGGAAGTAGTACCGTACGGGGATCCAAGCACATTACCACAAAAGATGAAAAATTTCGAAGTATCAAATGCTCGACCTTTGCCGATAAGTGGTCCCCACCAATCCTCAACGTCTGCACTACCAGTCAATGCATGACATATCACCATCACATTATCTTTTGTCGCGTTTAATTTCCCCCAGGTTTTATAGGCTGCAGTGACATTATGTAAAGTGACACCAGACTCTAGGGTAAACTCTGGAACTAGGTGATATTCTTGCGCATGAACTAGTGCTGCAAATTTGTTTTCCGTTGGCGACCGGATTTGTTCTTTCATTGATAAGACGAATTTTGTCTGATACGCGAAATCAAAGCTTTATATCGATGTGGTCGGGGAGTAATGAAATTCTGCAAATACCGTTATATCAAGAGTTTTATTACAAAATCCTTATGTGAAATGACTAGTGGAAATGTTTTTGGGTGGTCATCATTATATAGATATCATTATCGTTATTTTTTGTTGTTGCGTGAACAAATGGAGATGTTAATCGTTATGAGTGCCATTTACACGTCATTTAATGTCACTATGAGCCTCCCCCCTCGTGACCTTATAATGGATCATCGCGTTTTATCTAATGATTAAAATATATATTTCGTTGTCTATCTAAAGGAAAGTAAAAATATTTTTTATTATCTTTAATTCACAAATTTTTATATTAATTTTTGATTCTTTTAAATTTATTTCTTAATTATTATTTTAATTTAAAAATTATAAATATATTTATTAATATCTAAATTTTATTAAAAAGAAATTAATTTTAACTAGTTAATTTTTACTTAAAACAAAAATAAAATCAGAATTTAACTATACTCTTATAAGTTTATAAAAGAATTTTAATAAAATTATAATTTATTATTACTCAAGAATCATAATTAGTAATTTATTTTAACTTAATTATAATAGAATAAAACTATAATCATTATAACTTGTAAAAATTTGATCTCTTTTTAAATTAATTCAATATTCTTTTTGTAAATTTTTTTATTTTATTATAATAGTAATATTATTATATATTACTTTATTTATATAGAAATTACTTAAAAAAAATAAAATCAGAATTTTATTATATTTTTATAAGTTTATGAAAGAATTTTGACAGAATTACTCAAGAATATCTCAAGTTTTACATATTTTATTATGAAATAAAAAAATTTAATTTCTATTTATTATTTAATTTTTATTATATAATATAATAATTAAATTTAAAGATAATAATTATATATATTATTTTTAAGTAATTTATTTTATAATATTTTGAGAATTAAATTATATAATTATAATATTAAATTATATTATATTAGTGATATAATTATAATCTATACAGATTATAATTATACCACTTAATTTGGATTATAACCATCTTTATTGATGATTGGATCACATGTATGTCATTATTCGAGTAATAATTGATTCATGAATTCATTATCACACTTAGATATCTCTGATTTATAAAAAATATGATGATAAATTTGTATTCACATCATCACACTTAGATACTTCATGATTTATAAAAAATATGCTAATAATGCATTCAGTTACATATCAATATTTGCGGATCTAGTGTGAGAGCTATGTCTAAATTGGGTATGTAATGTCCTAACTTTCTGATTAATTTCTTGATAAGAATCAGATTTGAGGCATGTAGTACTGAAATAGTATTCATATTCTAGCTTTGTATGATGCATTTGAATATTGATCAAGAATGAGATATGTAGTGCCAAATTATTAACATATTTGGTATTATATCAAAGTATCTGATAATGAGGTATATAGTACCAAATTGCTAATTATTATAATATACTCGAGTATTGATCAAGAATGAGATATATAATGTCAAATCATTAACATATTTGATAATGTATCAAAGTATCTAATAATGAGACACATAGTACCAAATTATTAACATATCTGATAAAATACTAAAGTATCTGATGATAAAACATATAGTATTAAATTTGTTATTCTTACTTGATGACCTATCAAAATATAATTTTATTATATATATATATCTATAATAATTTTATCTTGATGTCTCACTTTTTTTACTCAAAAATAATACTTATTTGGTGCTTATCAAAGTACAATTTTATATATTATATATGTACTCTATTTCAGAATGCTAACTTTTATTCAAAATAGTACTCACTTACTGAAAAATCTTTGATGATCTGTAAGATTATTTTATTAATAGTTGTAAACAAGATAAAATATGATATAAATAAGTTTTAATTTTATAACTTATGATTATTTTTATTATTTAAAAGTATTCAGATCTGAGGCTAAAAGTATAAAACAGAGAGGTCTTATTTATAAGAAAGAAATGAATACAAAATATGAATAAATTAATATGAATTTCTAATTTAAATTATATATGAGTTGAACAGAATTAATTAACTTAATTCATATCTCTAAAGAGCAACTAATCATAATCCAATAATTAATAATGTAATAAATAATTATAAATAATAATATAAATATATAAGAAAAAGAATGAATGAAAATATAAAGAAATAATTAATAATAATATAATTAAAAAATATTAATAATCTAAATTAATAATTGTGATATATATAGTAATCATCTAAGTAACAATATGTTAAATCTAGATATATTAAATATATAATAATCATCTGTGTATCCAGAGTGAAAATGATCTTCTTAAAAATATAATACAAAACTAATCTGTTATACAGATAGTGTAAAATGAAGATCTAAGCTAAAAGAGATTTAAAGGAAGATAATCCAATCAAAATTATTACATACCCTCCTACTTAAAGTACAATATTCTTATTGTATTTAAGTATGTGATTTTTCAAAGACATTAATCTTCTTCATGACATTTTTCAAGTTTTCAAGAGATTTCCAAGTTGCATTATAGAAAGGATAACCTAGCTATTTGACAAGATATTGGAATTTGTGATAATGAATTCTTTTATCAAGAATATTCTTAACTTCATATTCTTCTTCATTATCTGAGATGATGATTACTAGTGATGGTTGATATTTGTTGTATTCATTATCTGGATTATATTTCTTTAGAAATGATATATGAAATACTAGGTACAATTTCATATTCTGTGATAGTTGCAGTTTGTAAGTGACAGAAGATATTTTAGTGATGATCTCAAAGGGACCTATGAACTTTGATATAAATTTCTTAATTGTTCTTTGTATATCAGCTGGAGATTCTATATTATAAGTAGAAAGAAGAACTTTATCTCCAAGATTGAATTCTTCAAATTTTTTATATTAATTTGCATATTTTAACTATCTTTCTTGAGCTTCTAATAGCAAATCTTTAATAGTCTTTATCATCATATTCTAATACTTCATGAAATCTTGAGAGGCTGCAACATTATTTTGTTGTGATAAGATATTGATTGGTATATAAGATGCTTGTTCACAATCTAATTCAAAGGGTGTATGGTCTGTTGAAGCATTTTTATTATTATTATAAGTAAATTCTGCAACTGCTAAATTTTCATCACAACTATTTTGCTAATAGATAGTATTAGAGATGGGAGCCGCAACTAGCTGTAACTCTGTCACAATTCTCTGATTGGCTATCGCAACTCTGTCACAATTCTCTGATTGGCTGCCGCAAGCTGCAATTAGTTGAGGAGTCATCTTTAGGTAGTATATATTTTAAGTATCTTTCAAGATTCTATTTAGTCTTTCTGTTTGGCCATCTTTTATGGATGAAAGACTGTAGATATAGTAAGTTTAATACCTAGTTATTCAAAAAGAGACTTCCAAAAGTGACTGGTGAATTTTGCATCTCTATCTGATATTATAATTATGAGTAAGCCATGCAGTTTAAAGATATTTTCAAAGAATATCTTAGCAATATCAGGTGCTGTTGCTGTTATTATAGTTGATATGAAGTATATTCTTTTTGACAATTTGTCTGCAAAGATTATTATACCATCATATTCAGACTTGATAGTTGAAAGTTATATTATAAAATCTATAGTGATATATTCTTATCTATATTCTGAAATGACTAAAGATTATAATAATTCTGAAAATTGTTGATTACTACTTTTATTATGCTGACATGATTCACAATTGGTGATGTATTTGTGAATATTTTTGTTCATCTTTGACCAATAGAATTGTTAAGAAATTGCTGCATAAGTTTTATCAATTTCAATATATCCAGCTATTAGTACATCATGAAATTTTTATCATCAGGTATAGCTAAGCAACTGATATTCTTTAAGTAAAGTAATTCATCTTTTAGCTCAAAATTTTTAATTTTAGTTTGTTACTTTGGGTTAACGTTGCTAAAGTTCTTCAAGACTTCATATATTTTTACAAAATATTTGTCTTCTAGATACTTCTTTATCAAGTCTTCTTTATCAACAAGATTAGTGATAATAACTGAAATATTTGCCAGATGTAATTGAAATAAGAGTGCATCTGCTACTATATTATTCTTGCCAGATTTGTATATAACTTCAAAATTACTGGTCTGTAAGGTTTCTAACCAGTAAGTCTATCTCTTGAAAAGGCTATGTTGTGTTTTGATATATTTCAAGAAGACATGATCTGTAATAACTATGAATTTCTGGCCTTCTAAATATGACTTCCAGAGTTTAATGGCATGTATAATTGCAAGTAATTCTTTTTTATGAACTGGATAATTTTGTTCAGCTGGTGAAAGTTTTTTTGACTCAAAAGCAATTGATTGATCACTCTTGCCTTGATTTTGACTTAACACAGCTCTTATAGTGAAATTTGAAGTATCTGTGATAATTGTAAATGATAGTTTTAGGTCAGGTAACAATAAGACTGATATTGAGATAAGATATTACTTTAATTATTCAAAAGCTTGTTATACTATTATAGACTATTTATACTTTTGATCTTTGTATAGGAATGCTGTGAGTAGTGAGATAGTTGCTGAAAAACCTTTCACAAATTTTCTGTAATAACTTGCAAGATCTAGAAATAAGCGAAGTTCTGATATATTAGTTGATGCTGGCCAATCTCTAATAGTGGCAATTTTTCTTTGGTCAATAAAAATATCATCTGCTAAGATAAAATGTTCAGAGTATTTTACATACTGCTAAATAATATCACACTTCTTTCACTTGGCATATAGTTTGTGTTTGCAAAGTATTTCTAATACAATCTGAAGATGTTGAATATATTCTTTTTTTGTTTTACTGTAAATCAAGATATTATCTAGGTATATGATTACAAATTTATCAAGATAATTATGAAATATATTGTTTATGAATGTCATAAAGATGGCTGGTATATTGGTGAGACCAAAGGATAGGACCAAG